AAAAACTCTAGTATCATTATTATTTTTTCAGTACTGGGGATGAGACCGAGTTCTCTGTAGACTAGGCCAGCACTCATCTCTGAGCTGCACTCCAGCCCTCACCCCTTCCTTGTGCTGCACCCTGAGGGGAAGAAGGACCAAGGCAGGTATCTGGGCAGCCTGGAGTCATCATTCCCTAGGGAACGGGGAAAGCATGGGGTTGGGGCAATAATCAGGGATCAGGAAATCACTGCAGCCACCAAGTGTCTGATGGTTCAGGGGACAGGAGAGCACCACTCAACCCCAAACGTGAAAACATCAAATCCAGGCCCAGCATGGTGGCATGCACCTGTACTCCTAGCACTCGAGAGGCTGAGGCAGGAGGATCATTGCAGTTCGAGGCCAGCCTGGGCTACAAAGTGAACTCAAGGCCAGCCTGAACTGCATAGTGAGACCCTGTCTCAAGAAGACATGGGCTGGGGAGATAGCTCAGTGGAATAAGCACTTGCCTGGTGAGCGCAAGGGCTTGAGTTCAATCCCTCCTTCCCCCCCACCAAAAAAAAAAAAAAGACCAAAAACAAAACAAAACCCAAAACAAACTTCTACTACAGAAAAGATCAGATATACTGACAACCCAAGTTTAGCAAATGTGAACATTTGTGATATTGACTTCATTCAAGTCAAAATGTTTTAAAATGGAAAAGAATGGGGTTGGGGAGATAGCTCAGTAGAATAAGTGCAAGGACCCGAGTTCAATCCCCAGTTCTGCTAAAAAAAAAAAAAAGAAACTACTTCCAACTCACCCACCTGACCTCAGCTGAAGTGGCAACCAATACTGCCTTGGGCAGGAAGTCAGGAGTCACCCTGGGGGACAGGGAGGTCTTGGAACTCCTTAGTCAAAAGGCCAGGAAGTGACCTTGCTCTCCTTTTTCCTTTTCCTCCTGGGGCTGGAACCTAGGACCTTCACATGAGCCCCATCCTCAGCCCTTTTCAGGTTTCATTTTGAGACAGGCTGGGCTCAAACTTACAATTCTTCTGCCTCAGCCTCCCAGAATGTAGGATTTACCAGCCTGGGCCAGCAAGCCTGGCTTCACTGATAGACTGAATTGAAGGATGACAGCACTGCTAGAAGTAAAACGAAGAAATTGTCACTCCATGTGACATTATGGATAAATCTGAGAAACAACTTTTTATAAATATAGTAAAAAAAACCCCACTGAATCATACTTTTTTTTTTTTTTTTTTTTTTTTACAGAACCAGGGATTGAACTCAGACCCTTGTGCTTATTCCACTGAGCCATCTCCCCGGTCCCATACATACATTTTATTTTATTTTATTTTTAAATTTTATTTATTTGTGTGTGTGTGTGTGTGTGTGTGTGGCCAGCTCAGCCCACCAGGGGGCGGGCTGGCTGGCATGTGGTGCTGGGGGATTGAACCGTGGTCCCTGGGCTTTGCTAAGCTTGTTCTAAGTAGGTGCTTTAGACCACTGAGCCATCTCACCAGCCCCCATACATACATTTTAAAAAGGATAAATTGTGTGGTCATTGAATTTTACCTCACTTAAAAACAAAACATGTTGGGCTGGTGAGATGGCTCAGTGGTCTAAAGCACCTACTTAGAACAAGCTTAGCAAAGCCCAGGGACCACGGTTCAATCCCCCAGCACCACATGCCAGCCAGCCCCGCCCCCTGGTGGGCTGAGCTGGCCACACACACACACACACACACACACACACACACAAATATTAAATAAATAAATAAAAAAAAAAAAAAAACATGTTGTGTGAAAACAGTCAGCCCCCAAAACCACATACTGATGGTCCCTGTTGTGTAAAGTTGACTTTGCACCCGGAATCCCAGCACTCTGTGAGGCTAAGGCAGGAGGAGCATAAGTTTCTTGTTTTTTAATTTTGTTTTTGGTCTCTTTTTTGTTGTTTTGTGGGCTTTTTTATTTTATTGAGAAACAAAGAGCAATAAGACAGTTTCAAAACTGATTAATAGGACAGTTTCAAAAATTAATACATGGGGCTGGGGAGATAGCTCAGTAGAATAAGTACTTGCCTAGCAAGCGCAAGGGCCTGAGTTCAATCCCCAGTTCCGCAACAAAAGAAAAAAAAATTAATACATTATACATTGTTATCTTCTTAATGGTTATCCATAGTACAAGATGAAGACAGAGTTTTGTGTTTTTTTGTTTTTGCGGAACCGGGGAGGCCCTTGCGCTTGCCAGGGAAGCGCTTATTCTACTGAGCCATCTCCCAGGCCCCTAGAGTTTTGTGTTTTTGAGACAAGTTCTTGTCATGTAGTTCAGGCAGGCCTTGAACTCACTATGTAGCCAGGGCTCACCACAAATTCAGCTGTCTGCCTCAGCCTCCTGAGTGCTAGGATTACAGACACACACACTACCATGCTAGGCTCTTATTTTCTATTTTGAAATGAGTTCTCAGTAAGCCACTAAATTGCCCAGGCTAGGCTCAAACTTGTCAACCTTCTGCCTCAAATTCCCAATATGCTGGGATTACCAGTGTGAGCTACCATGTCCAGCCCACCCAATGCTTTTTTTTTTTTTTTTTTTTTTTTTTTTTTGACACAGCTTTATTAACCAGGGGTGGTGGTGCATATCTGTAATACTAGCCCTTGGGAGGCTGAGGCAGAAAGATTGCCATGAGGTAGAGGCCAGCCTGGGTTGCACGGTGAGTTCAAGGCCTGCGTTAGTGCGACTGTTTCAAAAAATCAAAAACCTGGGGTTTGCAAGATAGCTTGGTGGACGAAAGTGCTTGCTTAGGCAAGCTTAGGCAAGCACAAGGACAGTGGTTCAATTCCCCAGCACCACATGCTGGGCCAGCCCTGCCCCCAGGGGAGGCTGAGCCTGTAATCTCAGTGCTGGGGTGACTGAAAGCAGGAGGATCACTGTGAATCTGAGCTGTGTAGTGAGACCCTGTAACAACCAAATACATAAAAATAAAATAACCAAGTGGGCGTGGTAGCATATAGCCTATAATCTCAGCACTTGGGAGGCTGAGGTAGGAGGATCGCTGTGAGTTGGAGACAAGCCTGAGCTACAAAGTGAGTGAGATACATAGTGAGACCCTGTCTTTATTGTATTTATTTATTTGGCGGGACTGGGGATTGAACTCAGGCTCTTGCACTTGCCAGGGAAGGGCTTATTCTACTGAGCTATCTCCCTGGCCCCGAGACCCTGTCTTTAAAAAGACAAAAAAAAAAAAAAAAAAAGAAAAGAAAAAACCTAGCTGGAGATGCAGCTCCTTTTTAAATCCCATACCCTATGATGCCTGGTTCATTCCCTTCATCTACTCATTCAGTAGCTCCCCTCCACCCCCACTCCGACTGGGGATTGAACTTGAGACCTTCTGCTTGCCTGACAGGCACTTATGCTGCTGAGTCATATCCCTAGCTCAACTTTTTTTTTTTTTTTAAATTTAGTACAGGGTCTACAAGATTTACTACACAGATCAGACTTGTAGTGATTCTCCTGTTTTTAGCCTCGAAGGTGCTGAGATTTACAGGGGCACGCCACCACGTCATGTCTCAATCATCATCTCAATGCACTGTGGGGGGATTGAACCCCTGGCCCCTGCGTCTGCCTAAACAGGTACTTTAATCTGCTGAGCTATCTGGCCGGCCCTCAGCTATTTGGTTTTATCTGTCTGTTTTTGAAACCAATCTCACTGTGTCACAGTACTTGTCCCTCAAGGGAGTCCTGTCAGCCTCCTGAGTAGCTGGGCTACAGGTGTACTTTCATGTATGTTTTTGCAGTGCTAAAGATAAAACCCAGGCCCCCAACTGTGCCAGCCAAGTGCTGTACAGGGCCGTACTTGGGAGCGCTGCAGGGGCTGAGGCAGCAGGAGGGACAATCTGGAGGGGAGGCTGGGATACATAGTGACACTGTGTCTCAAAAACTAAACTAAACTAAACAAGTCATAAATTTACAAGGAAGTAGGGGGCTGGAGATGTATGCAGAGTTGGAGCTTGCCTCCTTAGGCAAGGCCCTGGTTTCCATCTCTAAAAAGCAAGGAAGACACATCAAAGTATGTGAGGGCTTGGAAGAGGTGGGGATCCGCGAGAGTGCAAGAGCTCCAGGCCAGACTGAATTACATTGCAAGACCTTGTCTTAAAAAGATAAAAAAATTTGCTACATTTTAGATCATAATAATCACATTCATCATACGGGTTTTGTACATTCATCGTAGGGATTTTGTACCTGTATATATCTTGACTTTTTAAAAACATACACACGCACGTGCTCACACACACATACACACACACACATATATTTTTAAATTTATTTATTTTGTATTTTAGGGAAGGGTCTACAGGGTGTCCAGAGTCTCTCTACTAGATTGGACTTGTAGTGATCCGCCTGTTTACAGCCTCCCAAGAGCTGGGATTACAGGCATGTGCCACCATGCTCAGTCTCAAATCATTGTCTCAGCAGGCCAGGGGATCGAACTTTCTAAGCAGGCGCTTTAATTCGCTATTTGGCTGGCCCTCCCCCCCCCCTTTTTTTTTTTTGTATTAAGGGTTGAACTCAGGGCTTTCTCATTCAACTACACCCCCAGCCCTTTTTGTGTTTTGAGCCAGGATCTTGCTAAGTCACTAACTGCTCAAGCTGGACTTCTTGCCTTGCCTCAGTCTCCCAGAGTGCTGGGATGATAAGCATGTACCATGACATTCTGCTAGAAGATCTAATGTTTTTCTTTTTTAAATTTTTATTTATTTAGTTTTGTCTCTTTGAGACAGGGTTTTGTTGTGCTGTTCAGGCTGGTCTGGAGCTTACTTTGTAGCTCAGGTTGGTCTTGACCTCCCAAAAACACTCTTGCCTCAGCTTTCAGAGTGCTGGGATTACAGGTGTGTGCTACCACGGCAAGCTAACAGCTAATGTTTAAAGGGAGATTAAGTAATCATTGGGGCCAGCAGTGGGACAACATGATGGAAAGGCATTCCTGACCAGACTGCAGCCAATGCAAAGGCCCTGGGGTTGCAGGTGAGCTGAGAGTAGTTGAAAAATACACCACCCAGTGCTGTCCCATGGAGGTGAGGACAGTGGAGAGGACAAGGGGCTGGAAGGCTTGAAAATACCCCACTTGCAAGCCAGGTCAGGGGTGAGAAGAGTTTGTAAGACTGCTGAGAAGGCAGAAGCAGGTTTTGCAGCAGGGAAACCTGGTCAAGGCCCAGCACGGGTTAGAGAGACCCAGGAAGCTGCAGGATGCACTGCCGGGATGGTTATCTTGCTTGTGGGGATTTTACAATCAGTCCTTTGTCTCTTGTGAAGGCCCAGAGTGCAACTCTGTTTCCAGCGCCGCCTGAGTCCCTTGTGGGCATTGATAAATGCTCACTGAGTAAATGCACTCTGGAAGGTTGGAGCCAGGTCTTGGCAGGGTTCCCCTGCGGTATCCAGCGAGGCAGCCTGAATCCAGGTCGGCAGGAAAAGGACTCTGGCAGGCCCATGCTCAGGACACCTCTATCCACTGTAGTTTTTTGCCTTTAAAATGGGTGGGCCATATTGGGCTTGGTGGTGCCTACCTATCATCCCAGAACTTGGGAGAGGCTGAGGCAGGAGGATTGCTGTAGCTCAAGGCCAGCCTATTGATTTCCACACCAGCCTGGACTACACAATGAGACTCTGTCTCAACAAACTAAAACAAAAACAAAAAAAGAGTGGGGTAGGCAATTGGAAGGAGATGAAGCCAGGGGAAGGGTCATGGGCACTTCAGATTGTTGTTTAGTTTTTTTAGACAAGATGTGGCTATGTAGTCCAGGCTCTTTGTCTTGCAAAGATCCTCCTGCCTCAACTTCCTGAGTAGGGGGATGATAGGCATGTGCCACCATCCCCAGAAAGGAATTGGGCTTTTTTTTTTTGTGGAACTGGGGATTGAACTCAGGCCCTTGCACTTGCCGGGGAAGCGCTTATTCCACTGAGCCATCTCTCTGGCCCCAGGAATTGGGCTTTTTTGCTGAGTGATGAAGGAATTCTAAGGATTCCAGGCAGAGAAGGGTTGTTCTGTCACTTGGGTGCCCCCGGCCCATTGAGCTGTTGTGGGGAAAACAGGCCATGAAGGGGGAGAGGACGAAGTTGGGAGACCAGGAAGAAAGTGACTGTGCTGTCCAGGTCAGTGTGATGGGATGGCCCAAAGAGAGCGCAGAAAGGTGAGAGGTCAGTGGATCCACTTGCTGGCATTGTCCTCCTCCTCCTCCTCTTTTCACTGTTAAAATCCCCCAGTGAGATGCTCAGAAACAAAAGAGGAAACACACCAGTTTGGTCTTTAGAACAACCACACAATGTCATGCTCATGCCCACTGCTGCCAGGGAGGACCCAGGGGTCCTGGCTTGGTTCTCTTACTGGGCTCCTGAGTGAGTGAGTGGCCCAGTAGCACCCACAAACCAAGCTGCATGCTCCAGGAACTCTACACTTGCAGAGCAATTCTGCAGAAATCTGCACACAAGCTAGCACACTGGTGTGCATATATGGAGCACCAAGTGTATACAGCAGCCTGGAAAAAGAGGCTGGGCTCCACTTCACTGTTTGGGGGCAAGGACCTGAACCTTGGTAGCCACAGGGATCCAAGAACAGGTCAGTGGCCATGTTGGGATTCAAACTCCTTTCTTTTATTTGAGACAGTATCTGGGGGCTGGGGATACAGCTCAGGGGCACAGTGTCTGCCTGGCAAGCACAAAGTTTTGAGTTCAATTGCTGGTGCCAGAAAAAAAAAAAAAAAA